CCTGTGGTTAGATTTATGGGAGTTGTTCGTGTGGTTAGATTTATGTGAGATATTCATGTGGTTAGATTTATGTGAGTTGTTTATGTGGTTAGATTTATGGCAGTTGTTCATGTGGTTAGATTTATGGGAATTGTTCAAGTGGTTAGATTTATGGAAGTTATTCATGTGGTTAGATTTATGGGAGTTGTTCATGTGGTTAAATTTAATTGAGTTGTTCATGTGGTTAGATTTATGGAAGTTATTCATGTGGTAAGATTTATGGGAGTTGTTCATGTGGTTAGATTTATGGGAATTGTTTGTGTGGATAGATTTATGTGAGATATTCATGTGGTTAGATTTATGGAAGTTATTCATGTGGTTAGATTTATGCAAGATATTCCTGTGGTTAGATTTAATTGAGTTCTTCATGTGGTTAGATTTATGGGAGTTGTTCATGTGGTTAGATTTATGTGAGATATTCATGTGGTTAGATTTATAGGAGTTATTCATGTGGTTAGACTTAATTGAGTTGTTCATGTGGTTAGACTTAATTGAGTTGTTCATGTGGTTAGATTTATGGGAGTTGTTCATGTGGTTAGATTTATGTGAGATATTCATGTTGTTAGATTTAAGGGAAATATTCATGTGGTTAGATTTATGTGAGTTGTTCATGCGGTCAGATTTAATTGAGTTGTTCATGTGGTTAGATTTATGGGAGTTATTCATGTGGATAGATTTATGGGAGTTATTCATGGTGTTAGATTTATGTGAGTTGTTCATGTGGTTAGATTGATGGGAGTTATTCATATGGTTAGATTTATGGGAGTTATTCATGTGGTTAGATTTATGTGAGTTGTTCATGTGGTTAGATTTATGTGAGTTGTTCATGTGGTTAAATTTATGGGAGTTATTCATGTGGTTAGATTTATGGGATTTATTCATGTGGTTAGATTTATGGAAGTTATTCATGTGGTTAGATTTATGGGAGTTTTTCATGTGGTAAGATTTATGGGAGTTGTTCATGTGGGTACATTTATGGGAGTTGTTCATGTGGTTAAATTTAATTGAGTTGTTCATGTGGTTAAATTTAATTGAGTTGTTCATGTGGTTAGATTTATGTGAGTTGTTCATGTGGTTAAATTTATGGGAGTTATTCATGTGGTTTGATTTATGGGATTTATTCATGTGGTTAGATTTATGGAAGTATTAATGTGGTTAGATTTATGGAAGTTGTTCATGTGGTTAAATTTAATTGAGTTGTTCATGTGGTTAGATTTATGGGAGTTGTTCATGTGGTTAAATCTAATTGAGTTGTTCATGTGGTTAGATTTATGGGAGTTGTTCATGTGGTTAGATTTATGTGAGTTATTCCTGTGGTTAGATTTATGGGAGTTGTTCATGTGGTTAGATTTATGGAAGTTATTCATTTGGTTAGATTTATGGGAGTTGTTCATGTGGTTAAATTTAATTGGGTTGTTCATGTGGTTAGATTTATGGCAGTTGTTCAAGTGGTTAGATTTATGTGAGATATTCATGTGGTAAGATTTATGTGAGATATTCATGTGGTTAGATTTATGTGAGTTGTTCATGCAGTTAAATTTAAATGAGTTGTTCATGTGGTTAGATTTTTGGGAGTTGTTCGTGTGGTTAGAATTATGTGAGATATTCATGTGGTTAGATTTATTGGAGTTATTCATGTGGTTAGATTTATGGGAGTTATTCATGTGGTTAGATTTATGGGAGTTATTCATGTGGTTAGATGTATGCGAGTTGTTCATGTGGTTAGATTTAATTGAGTTGTTCATGTGGTTAGATTTATGGGAGTTGTTCATGTGGTCAGATTTATGGGAGTTATTCATGTGGTTAGATTTGTGTGAGTTGTTCATGTGGTTAGATTAATGTGAGTTGTTCATGTGGTTAAATTTATGGAGTTATTCATGTGGTTAGATTTATGGGATTTATTCATGTGGTTAGATTTATGGAAGTTATTCATGTGGTTAGATTTATGGGAGTTGTTCATGTGGTTAAATTTAATTGAGTTGTTCATGTGGTTAGATTTATGGAAGTTATTCATGTGGTAAGATTTATGGGAGTTGTTCATGTGGTTAGATTTATGGGAATTGTTTGTGTGGATAGATTTATGTGAGATATTCATGTGGTTAGATTTATGGAAGTTATTCATGTGGTTAGATTTATGCGAGATATTCCTGTGGTTAGATTTAATTGAGTTCTTCATGTGGTTAGATTTATGGGAGTTGTTCATGTGGTTAGATTTATGTGAGATATTCATGTGGTTAGATTTATAGGAGTTATTCATGTGGTTAGACTTAATTGAGTTGTTCATGTGGTTAGATTTATGGGAGTTGTTCATGTGGTTAGATTTATGTGAGATATTCATGTTGTTAGATTTAAGGGAAATATTCATGTGGTTAGATTTATGTGAGTTGTTCATGCGGTCAGATTTAATTGAGTTGTTCATGTGGTTAGATTTATGGGAGTTATTCATGTGGATAGATTTATGGGAGTTATTCATGGTGTTAGATTTATGTGAGTTGTTCATGTGGTTAGATTGATGGGAGTTATTCATATGGTTAGATTTATGGGAGTTATTCATGTGGTTAGATTTCTGTGAGTTGTTCATGTGGTTAGATTTATGTGAGTTGTTCATGTGGTTAGATTTATGTGAGTTGTTCATGTGGTTAAATTTATGGGAGTTATTCATGTGGTTAGATTTATGGGATTTATTCATGTGGTTAGATTTATGGAAGTTATTCATGTGGTTAGATTTATGGGAGTTTTTCATGTGGTAAGATTTATGGGAGTTGTTCATGTGGGTACATTTATGGGAGTTGTTCATGCGGTTAAATTTAATTGAGTTGTTCATGTGGTTAAATTTAATTGAGTTGTTCATGTGGTTAGATTTATGTGAGTTGTTCATGTGGTTAAATTTATGGGAGTTATTCATGTGGTTTGATTTATGGGATTTATTCATGTGGTTAGATTTATGGAAGTATTAATGTGGTTAGATTTATGGAAGTTGTTCATGTGGTTAAATTTAATTGAGTTGTTCATGTGGTTAGATTTATGGGAGTTGTTCATGTGGTTAAATCTAATTGAGTTGTTCATGTGGTTAGATTTATGGGAGTTGTTCATGTGGTTAGATTTATGTGAGTTATTCCTGTGGTTAGATTTATGGGAGTTGTTCATGTGGTTAGATTTATGGAAGTTATTCATTTGGTTAGATTTATGGGAGTTGTTCATGTGGTTAAATTTAATTGAGTTGTTCATGTGGTTAGATTTATGGGAGTTGTTCATGTGGTTAAATCTAATTGAGTTGTTATGTGGTTAGATTTATGGAAGTTGTTCATGTGGTTTGATTTATGGGAGTTATTCCTGTGGTTAGATTTATGGGAGTTGTTCATGTGGTTAGATTTATGGGAGTTATTCATGTGGTTAGATTTATGAGAGTTTTCATGTGGTTAGATTTTTTGAGAGATATTCATGTGGTTAGATTTATGGGAGTTTTCATGTGGTTAGATTTATGAGAGATATTCATGTGGTTAGATTTATGGGAGATATTCATGTGGTTAGATTTATGCAAATTATTCCTATGATGCTATAAATTAATTGTATTTTCTGTTGTGTAACACCTGTTCCTGTGTATGTTGGAATTATAAACAATAAGTTTAGACTTCTGGTCCTAGTGGTAGAACTTTAATAGTATCTATTGTCAATAATACTTTGAAATTCTATATTTATGTCACTTAAGTGCAAAAATGTCATTTATGCTGAAACTCTGACACATACACGTTATGTAATGATTGTGATTTCTGACCCAAATGGTCATTTTTCAATTTACACAGAGATTTTAAGTATTGAATATGAATAACATTCTTACTGAATAAAATATTTTATCCACATCAGCATCTAGGTTTAAAACATTTTGTGGCTAAATATCTATTAATGTGTTAGGTTGTTCCTGATCATGAGGCTCATGTCTTAATTTCAAAAGGGTGATGTAAATATAAGACAACTTGACAGATTTTATAGTTTGCCCTAAATGTAAGGACAGTAAATATGGTTAAACAAGAATGCATGTATTGTTGTGCTAAGATACTCCCACAAGTCATTCAAAGTATTGGAAAATAGAAAGTAGGTGTCTGATAAACTTTACAACTCATCACTGTTGACCAAATATGAAGTAATTCTGTAAAGTAGTATTGGAGAAATATGTGACAATTGTTTTTAAGTTCATTCAACATATTGAAATATTCAATGTAAATGAATGTTATCATGGTTATTGTAAACAGGAAATTGGTATCTAACAGATCTGAAAGGACTTTTGTTAGTGCACACACATAAAAAATCATCATTGTCAACCTGCTGGCCATATATGAAGTCATTCTGTTTAGTGGTCTCTGAGAAAAGTGTAACGAAAATATTTGTTGGAAGAAATTGTAATAAAGCCCCCCTCATAGAATGGATGTATAAAAATTGAATAATGTAATAACTTATATGTTACAATATCGTGTGAACATTATTTCATTTAACAGATTTATAATACTTGTGATTCTCAAATTCAATTGACCAAAAACTTAACCTGTTATAAGTTCTCATTTGTTTTCATCCTGAACGAGAATGAAATACTTTCATACTGGACACAATCTGATTAAATACAGATCCTGTGTCCAAGCTTTGCTTACAAGGATCTGACAACACCCTTTGAGCCTTTAAATTTTCAAAGGTGTGTTTTAATTTGACAAAACCAGAGGACCAGGAACTGTCTTTAAAGCAGAAAGTAGGACAGAGCGTTTTAAAATTCTTGTAAGCAAAGCTTGGACATAGATTGCACTGGAAATTAAGCAAACAACAATTATCAACCTTTAGCTAACTAAAACTAAAATTTGAAGTTGTCATACATTTTCTGAACGTTTTGCAGGCTGGAAAATATTTTCGTACAAGTACAATATCATCATTGAAATGCAAGAAAATAATAATACTCAAAGTTATTAAATCCTTACCTATCAATTCAGTCCAAGGGCTTCCCTCATTCCTGGATCCAAAATCCTGAAATATCAATTAAACTATATATATGTACATGTATCACATATAAATATTATATAAATTAAGAAATTATTAATAAACTAAGGTTCCAACTTCCTCTGGCAAAGTTGACCTTAGGAGGATTTGGCTATTTTTTAAGGTCTTTTTTGTGTTATAGACTAATTGGAAGATATCACATGCAGGTACACAGAGTTTTTTTTCAATTATCATGGTGTACATCCTTTGAAATGGTAATCAATCCAACATGTCAGTGTACATGTATATTAAGCCTGATAGCCAGACTTCTGACCCATATATCATGTATATCTGTATGTAATATAAGACAGAATTATCAAGTTTTACAACTTTATTCAGGTTTTGTTTGAAAATTTGTCAAATTGTAGGATTATATATTTGAACTAGAGAAAACTGACATGTCAAAAAGGACCCCTCTTGTACATTTTTATGTGAGGCAATTGCAACGAGACTGATGTTATGATTCTCAGAATTTAGATGTTTGTTACACTTTTTAATTGAGGAAAAAATTTGGGATGCATATTATGCCTATATTATATTTTTCAATTTTTATCGAAATCCTACTACAATAAGATGCTTCTCAAAATTTGTGATGTTTTAACAAAAAGTAAGTTTTTACCAATTTTTCTGAATTTGTCAATCAATTTGATATACAAGATATAACTCCTTACACATTCACATAAATCAGTTTTTGTTAAAATCCTATTTACATTAGAAGACATTGCTCAAAATTTGTGATTTAAAAAAAAAAGTTTTTCCCCAAATTAATGAGCTTAGTTTCACTAAAATATAATATGCACATCTACATATTACATACAACAACTGTGCACAATTTCATTGGCCTCCTACCTACATGTACTTTTGGAGTTTTTGAATTTACAAATATTGTGAACAGACAGACAGACAAAGTGAAAACTATAGGGCACCTTGATGGGGGGCCTTAATTAATAAAACGATTAGCCATAATTGGAAGCTCTCTTTTGAATTGAAAGGGATAAACTTGCAACTTTGGCAAAAAGACTGTTTATTCTGTAGATCTTCATCAATATTCCAGCCGAATCAATTCAACAGTTACATAATAAAAGTCATTCAAGTAAAATTGTATGTATCTGTTTTTCAGAAAAAAGAATATCGGATAACTGAGATTGAATTGTCTCCCTTTGTATATGTTTTGAAAAAAAGCATGGGAAATTAAAATCATACACATGAAACATGTGATAGAGTAATTAATAAATACATTTTATTTACATGGAATAGAAACTAACAACACCATTATGGTCCATAGCAAAATAATAATGATTACATCCCCGAATAAACAAAAACAGGCATTTGTAAACCTAATTCTCCTGTCTCTCTCTATATATATATAACATATTCATGACTATTTCTTGATCTTCATTTTCTTATTTTACCATATTTTTTTTTGAGGCATATCAAAAAATTAAAAAATTTAAAATAAGAAGCAATTCTGGAACTAGTATACCAGAGCAAATGAAGATCAGAAAATATATGCTATATAAAAACAGAAGAATTCAGTCTCCAGCATTTGTCTCTGAAAAAAATACATATAAACAGATATAAACTTAATTTAACATTTAGGTATAGGTATTTTTTTCTGAGGAAAATGCATGTGAAAACAAGGGATGAACTCAGAAGATCTGGAGGAGTCAGCTAATCCTGAAAACTGAGGCATGTAAATCAGAATTATGCTGATCAATATTTTTTTTAAACTTTAATATTTTAAAGGAAAGTTATTTCTTCAAGTAAGATTGTATTGCTCCACAACTTACAAAGGCTGAACTTCATCTTCTTCCATAAATAAATCCTGTAATCGTTTCCCAGCTTCAGCATATGGTCCATCCACTGGAGCCTCTTCTACAACCTTGTCAATTGTGGCAAGAAGAGCAATTAATTTTATCTGCATAATTCGAAAACAGGAAAGGCCAATTTTCACAGATTCATTATTCATATGAAGATAAGCATGATAGCTAGATACTATCGCACTTTTATAGAAATGTTCATAATCGGTATAATACGGATCGTTTCCGATTGCTTCCATAATTACAGGTTTGCACAAGTGGCTTTCAAAATCTTGCCATTTCACCAGCTCAATCTCAAATGCTTCAAGGCTATTCGGCTGGCAAGATGGACATGGAAGATCGTACGTCGGATCTAAGTTTAAAATACCATTATTAATGTTACCCAAGGGTAAAACTGGTGCTTGTTGTGGCATTGTCAATCCGCTAACGGAAACACTTCAGCAGAACAAAGAACTTGTTTAGAAGGAGTCGTTTGAAAAAGGGGAATGATACGAACCACGAGGCTTTTAGTTGAGGTATACGTATATAATGTATATATAATGCACATATTGTTTAACCTAAATTAATCCCATTGGGAGTGACCCTTAGAAAGGATGAACCTACCAGACAGGTATAAACAGGTAACAAGTGTACGACAACTCGTGAATACCTTTGCCATCTCTTACTCAAACTCGTACTTTTACCAGTTCAGTTCAGTTTCTTGTATATTCCTCCATTAATTGTGGAGCACTACCCATAGGGTATAATTGTAGCAACTATATACACCTTAGAACATAAGGAAACATTTAATTATGTACAGATGACTGAATTTAGGTAATAATAATTACTAAATAATTAATATTATAACTAATTCATAGGATTGTCATCATAAAATTTTAAAAATAATATTCATAATGTACTGAAGTGTAAGAATAAGTTAAGTAAGAACTGGATACATATTTACAAATAAGAATTTAGAATTTAAGTGGTCTTAAATTAAACTTTCTTATAATTGTTAGTTAAAGGTGCTATACGTACATCAGAATTTATAATGAGAAGGTTATTTTATAAGACTTATGTAAAAGGGTTGGGGTTTAGAACAATTCATCATATATACATAAGTTTACCTTCACAGTTTAAAGTTACCTTATTTCGGATCTTATCATTATTCTTTAAAGGTAACTGGATATCTTAAAACTTTGCAAAAAAAAATTATTTAATTTAGGTCCTAATACGTCATAAAATAGTAAGATGGTAAAGTAGGGAACTATTTTATTTTAAAAAAGTTTACTTATACTGTACTTGTGTTCAAGTTTTTTATCATTTTTGTGCGCAGCATGTGCATCTCGTAGCACATATTTCTAGCCAGAGTTTCAATGTTTTCATACACAGTTGAGTAACAGTTTATGTCCTTGCTAGTACAGTCCATTCTGAGCTGCAGTAAATTCCCTTTTACCAACTCGTATACCCATTTTGGTAGCATTGTTATGTATCAATTAATTAGAATTATATATATTTTTTTAATAGTATCAGAGACATGTAATACATGTATTATATGTCTCTGATAGTATACATGGCTCTGATCTAGTGATCATGATTTTGTTTGGAATTCAGCTTAGATATCTTTGATGATGAAGTAACGAATTCATATGGAAGATTTATATTTCGAATTTTTCGTTTGATGTGTTTTAAAGAAGATTTTTCTTATTCATATTTTTTTTGAAAAGGGGGTATTTCTCTTGTATTTAGTAGCAACCCGATTGTTTGGATTTTATACTTATACAATATCTTATCTTATCTCTAAGGATTACTCCATCTTTTTGATATCGTAAAGCTACGACACACGAATTAAACAAATCTAAATGTACATGCATGTAATAGAGTATACCAAAGCGATACAGGATACTAAAAAATGTAACGCAAATAGTAGTTCTATGATATACTTGGGAGTATAACATGGTTTACAGACATAGGTAGGGGTGAAAATTCTAAAACTTTGGATGCGTTTGACTCATAACTCCAAAAATTTCAAGATTCTAATTTTGTACAGTTGTATAATGAAGTTCGCAAAAAAAATAAAAAATAGATGCATCAAAAGCGAAGTTTGGCAGTTGTGATCTCAGCAGTGATTTAAAATATTGTCGGAACTGGTATATACGTGTATCTATGGAAAACGTTATTTCGTTTAAAAATCTGATGGAGTACATCCAAACAAATGTATGTTTTATTTCCGTATTTATGGTAGACACAATGGATAAGCGCTGATTCTTGAAAAAGAAAACACGAGCCCGGAGGTTGGTATGAGTCACACATAACAAATTGCAGGGAGGGTTTCGATTCCCATTGAAGGCATATATATAAAAAATACAAAAGTGAAAGGTAAGTTTTTAAATGAATTTCATTAGGGAACAGAAATCAGTAAATTAGCCGATTCAAGTTAAATGAAATTAGGCACACGAAGGAAACAATTGAATATAATTTGGTGAGGCCATTTCAGCGAAAGATTTAGGAAGCGTTGATTCTAGAAACGAAATTCATATATGATACACAGCAACAAATAAAAGGCTTCTGACTTGGAACAGGCATATACAGAATGTTAATATGAAATTAAGAAAATGTGATATGTTTGAGAGTGCTCAACACTTCCCTATCGTGGGACAGAGGTGTAAAAGCACAACATAAGAACTATCTGTAAAAATTAGTTGTAAGTGGTTTAACCGAATAGATCGGTACGAAGCCCAAAACACAACTAACACAAAATCTGTGAAAATATCCTTTGTATTATCAAAACGCGGAAACTTGAAATGAGAAAAAAGAAAAATGTCTGTCAAAATGGGTAAACTTTCTGAACAATACTGTATACTAAGGCAATTAAAAGAAAAATGCAGTACATTTTAAGAAAAACGCAAAAGGCGACACATAATCATGAAGACAAAAACACGTTTTGGATCTATAGTGGTCACATTGCAACAAATCATGATATATTTAAATCAAACTATTTTGTGGGTCAGATAGTACAGTAAATGAAATTAATGTTTTCCTTGAAAATGTTAAAATTATTTTTCAAAAAGAAGGATTTTGTTGATTTTTATTCAAAAATGATGAGAAAGATGAGACAACGCGTTATTTTGATCGTGAAAACATTGCGTGACCAGACCAGATTGTTTAGATTTTGCTCATGAATGAATGTCATATGGTTATCTATAGTTGCTTACATCTACGTTATTTGCAATTGGTCTCTGATGGATAGTTGTCTCATTGGCAATCATACCACATCTAATTTTCATATTAATCATTAGAAAATTAGATTTCTTTTACTAATTGACGTACTTTAATAGATTGAAGAGTGTGATTTTTTTGCTGTCGTAATTGGTAATCGACTTCCACCTATCTTTCTATAAAACCTTTAAATTTTTTTTAGCTAAAAACAATACTGATTATATTTATAACTAACTTATATGTTGAAAGTCTAGCGATTTCATCCTTCACGGGACTTTAGAATTATTATGTACGCAACTTAAGAAAAAACTTCTATAAAATTGAGAATGGAAACGGGGAATGCGTCAAAGAGACAACAACCCTGTTTTGAAGGTCGAATACTTGTAGACACATGACCTGTTTCTGTATTGAAGGTAGTACAATATTATTGGACACATCGCCTGTTTCTGTATTGAAGGTAGTACAATGTTATTGGACACATGACCTGTTTTTGTATTGAACGTGGAATAATATTTGACACATTACCTGTTTCTGTTTTGAAGGCAGAATACTTGTGGACACATCGCCTGTTTCTGTTTTGAAGGTAGTACAATATTATTGGACACATTACCTGTTTCTGTATTGAAGGTAGTAGAATATTATTGGACACATCCCCTGTTTCTGTATTGAAGGTAGTACAATATAATTGGACACTTGACCTGTTTCTGTATTGAAGGTACTACAATATTATTAGACACATCGCCTGTTTCTGTATTGAAGGTAGTACAATATTATTGGACACTTGACATGTTTCTGTATTGAAGGTAGTACAATATTATTAGACACATCGCCTGTTTTTGTATTGAAGGTAGTACAATATTATTGGACATATCGCCTGTTTCTGTATTGAAGGTAGTACAATATTATTGGACACTTGACCTGTTTCTGTATTGAAGGTAGTACAATATTATTGGACACATTACCTGTTTCTGTATTGAAGGTAGTACAATATTATTGGACACATGACCTGTTTCTGTATTAAAGGTAGTACAATATTATTGAACATATCGCCTGTTTCTGTATTGAAGGTAGTACAATATTATTAGACACATCGCCTGTTTCTGTATTAAAGGTAGTTCAATATTATTGGACACTTGACCTGTTTCTGTATTGAAGGTAGTAGAATATTATTAGACACATCGCCTGTTTCTGTATAGAAGGTAGTACAATATTATTAGACACATCGCCTGTTTCTGTATTGAAGGTAGTAGAATATTATTGGACACATCGCCTGTTTCTGTATTGAAGGTAGTACACTATTATTGGACACTTGACCTGTTTCTGTATTAAAGGCAGTACAATATTATTGAACATTTCGCCTGTTTCTGTATTGAAGGTAGTACAATATTATTAGACACATCGCCTGTTTCTCTATTGAAGGTAGTACAATATTATTGGACACTTGACCTGTTTCTGTATTGAAGGTAGTAGAATATTATTAGACACATCGCCTGTTTTTGTATAGAAGGTAGTACAATATTATTGGACACTTGACCTGTTTCTGTATTGGAGGTAGTAGAATATTATTGGACACATTACCTGTTTCTGTATTAAAGGTAGTACAATATTATTGGACACATCGCCTGTTTCTGAATAGAAGGTAGTACAATATTATTGGACACATCGCCTGTTTCTGTATTGAAGGTAGTACAATATTATTGGACACTTGACCTGTTTCTGTATTGGAGGTAGTACAATATTATTTGACACTTGACCTGTTTCTGTATTGAAGGTAGTACAATATTATTGGACACATCGCCTGTTTCTGTATTGAAGGTAGTAGAATATTATTGGACACTTGACCTGTTCCTGTTTTTGTATTAAAGGTAGTACAATATTATTGAACACATCGCCTGTTTTTGTATTGAAGGTAGTACAATATTATTGGACACATCGCCTATTTCTGTATAGAAGGTAGTACAATATTATTGGACACATCGCCTGTTTCTGTATTGAAGGTAGTACAATATTATTGGACACTTGACCTGTTTCTGTATTGGAGGTAGTACAATATTATTTGACACTTGACCTGTTTCTGTATTGAAGGTAGTACAATATTATTGGACACATTACCTGTTTCTGTATTGAAGGTAGTAGAATATTATTGGAAACATCGCCTGTTTCTGTATTGAAGGTAGTAGAATATTATTGGACACTTGACCTGTTCCTGTTTTTGTATTAAAGGTAGTACAATATTATTGAACACATCGCCTGTTTTTGTATTGAAGGTAGTACAATATTATTGGACACATCGCCTATTTCTGTATAGAAGGTAGTACAATATTATTGGACACATCGCCTGTTTCTGTATTGAAGGTAGTAGAATATTATTTGACACTTGACCTGTTTCTGTATTGAAGGTAGTACAATATTATTGGACACTTGACCTGTTTCTGTATTGAAGGTAGTACAATATTATTGGACACATTACCTGTTTCTGTATTAAAGGTAGTACAATATTATTGGACACTTGACCTGTTTCTGTATTGAAGGTAGTACAATATTATTGGACACATCGCCTGTTTCTGTATTGAAGGTAGTAGAATATTATTGGACACTTGACCTGTTTCTGTATTGAAGGTAGTACAATATTATTGGACACATCGCCTGTTTCTGTATTGAAGGTAGTAGAATATTATTGGACACATCGCCTGTTTCTTTCTGTATTAAAGGTTGTAGAAATCTTTTGGACACATGACCTGTGTCTACGTGATTAACAGTCTGTTGATAAAGAATATCAACTTATTGGTTTATTCGTTATATTAATTTTATTCGTGGGCGTTGTGAACGTCATCCAAAATGCATCTGACTGTAGATTATAAATGAATATAAATCAAAAAGAGGGAAATAAAAGAAAATCAGTGTAGATTATGACAATACATTACTTATTGTTCAATAGAAAACCAACATGTTGCATTACACACAACAATAACTTACAAGTTATTTCTCTTGTTCGTATCTTGTCATTCATAAAAATGGATTAGCCCGATTAAACGAATTCATGACTGTTTTAATGCGTAAATATATTCTGAAGCTATAAAACTCCTCGGAATATAACGTGTATGAATTTGTGGATATTTTGTATGCATTTTACCTCTAAGGTAGGGTATAATAATCCCATTTCTGTAGATGCCAAGCAAGAAAATTCGAAAAATTTATAGGTTTTACCAACTTTTCGATACTGTCTTAAGTTAGGTTAATGAAAAATGTATCTTTTGGCATTCCTGGTAATCTGTTAACCGTAAGACTAGGATACGAACTATTATCGGAATAAAAATTAAAAAAAAAACTACTGATTTATTTTTAATATTGTACTCGACCATTTTTCCTATACTGCCGTTTTTATTGATATAACTGTATATATCTTTTTATAAAATCCTTTCGGTAAATGCGCCAAATCTGCTTTGCAAGTTTAAAATGTTGTATATATTATTCCATCACCAAAGGACTACGAATTCATCAGCAAGATATTATTTCATGCAATTTTACTGGATAGGAAAGATTTGGAAGAATTACTTTAATGAGACAGTCATTTAATAAGACAGTCATTTAAAGTTCACAAGTCGCCGTTAACGATACAACGACCTTTGCCGAAATATCCAAACGGCAAGAAAAGTAAAGAGCATGAGAAATATTTCGGTACGTTGATTTAAAACTGTCTTGACTTTGTTTGCTCTTATATGAAATGTTTTTTGATGATCAAGATGCTGTTCGTATAGCTATCGAAATTGGGAAGATGTAGGATTTCCTATGAAACGACTTTCTACCATAAACCAAAGGACTTAGAAAACTGAAGTGTATGACACAGTCTTGTGGGTTGTTTTTTTTTTCACACTGTCAGATGAACAAAGAATAAGCTAAAACATGACATTTCTAAGATTTATGCTTGCGTTTGCGTTTGGGTGTTGTCCTTCTTATAAGATATGACCTTGTTTTATTTCCAGTGCAACAGTGTATAATGGATAGCGAAGACATAACCAGGGAACAAATTGATTTACCCAAACAATGGGAAGGAAAACTGGCGTATTTATTACATAAAGTTTTATCCAAAAAGGTAGGAACTAACACTTAACATTATAGATTTACCACCACAATGGGAAGGGAAACTGGCTAAATTATTACAAAGTTTTGTCCAGGAATGTGGGGACTAACAATTTTCATTAGATTTTCAAAGACGATGGAATGGAAAATTGCTTATTTATTCTAGGAAGGTAGGGACTACAACAACTGGATAAGATAAAGAAAATGTCAAAGGATAATGGTTTATTCATAGTTAAATATCAGTAATATACAAAAATATATGAAATCTGCTCCGAAGTACAACCGCTTACATAAGACTATATAAGCATGCTTTTAATACAGTATAACTGAATATTAAAAGATAATTAAATCCTTACAAAATTAGTGAAAACTAAATGATTTGACCAAATTATGATTTCTGTCTTCCTACTGACATGTTTTGTCATTGAAACCTGTACCTCCTTTGTCAGCTATTTTAACATACCATAGCAAATATGAATCTCCTTGTTGGGTCTTTGACATCCAGTAACAAACCTGTATCTCCTTTGTCAGCTATTTTAACATACCATAGCAATTATGAATCTCCTTGTTTGGTCTTTGACACCCAGTAACAAGCCTGTACCTCCTTTATCGGTTCAGTTAACATCCAACATTATGCATGTTATTTTCTTATCTGCTACGTAAACATATAGTAGCGAATATGTACCTTCTTTGTCAGCAGTTCGCTAACACCCAATAGCAAACCTGTACCTCCTTTGTCAGCTTCGCTAACATCCAATAACAAACATGTGCCTCCTTTGTTAGCTTCGCTAACATCCAATAACAAACTTGTACCTCCTTTGTCAGCTTTGTTAACATCCAATAACAAACCTGTACCTCCTTTGTTAGCTAACACCATGCAGAAGAAAAACCTGTTCTCCTTTGTCAGCTAAATTAGTATCCAGTGTCAAAACTGTTACACCTTTTCAGCCAACGCAAGAAGAAAACATGTTCTCCTTTTTCAGCTACGTTAACAACCAGATGCAAATGTTATATGCATATCCAAGATGTCATGTTCTTATCAGCTACGTAAACATCTAGTAGCAAATCTGTACCTCCGTTGTCAGCTACTTTAACACCCAATAGCAAGCCTGTTCTTCTTCATCAGCTACACTAACAACCAGTTGCAAAATCTATATGCATATTCAGAATGTTATGTTTCTATATCAGCACCGTAAACATCTAATAGCAAGCCTGTACCTCCGTTGTCAGCTACGTACACATTCAATAGCAAACCGGTTGCTCCTTTGCCAACTTCTTTAACATTTAGTAGCAAACATGTTGCTCCTTTGTCAGCTACGTTAACATCCAGTAAGAAATGTTATATGCATATTCAGGACGGTATTTTCTTTATATTATTAGGAATGTGACGCTCTAATCAAAAAGGCGGAGGATAAAGGATTTGAACCAACATTTTTAAACTGTAAAGGAAGACGGTAGGAATCTCAGTATTTATCATTGTTATTCAACCAACTATACATGGCTTAAACATTTAGGAACTTACATTCATATTATAGACGTGTTTTGTTAATTTCCTTTCTTTAAAGTTTTAAAATAACCATTACATATTCGGCACCAGTACTCCTTTTTGTAAACTTATTATACTGTATACATTCTCAATGATACTATTATATGTGCGCTGGTAACCAAGTTGTTTTCGACATTTTCAGAGGATTAATAGATTATTTATTCCTTCAAAATGCTGTTGAAGACATTATTTATATACAAAATAGAATATTTCAAACTGTATGAATAAAATTAGATGTAGGATAGACGTCAATGGAACAGCAACACAACGACAAAAATAAGTAAAATATACACAGAAGACCTCTATTGGGCCAAATACAGTCTCCAGTAATAGACGGGTGTCTATTTATACAATATGTCTATCTCGTCCCGAGTCTATACAAGTTGTAAATGAACTAAACAGGAAATTATCTGCAAACCAACATCAACACACTCCAAATAACAAAAAAAAACAAAAAAAACACATTAATGATTAAAGATATAACATAAGAAACCTATCGAGATTCCTGACATGATTATGGTATGTACATATTTTGCCATTGTGGCCACATTCAGAGCCAAATTTTCTTGCTCGAGTTAAAACAATATCTTAATGTACTTTCACTCAAATTTCGACCGTTTTATTTTGGCTTTAACAAACCTTTTATTTATTTCTTAAAATCAAAATAATTTAATTTATCCAAATCGTAAGGTTCATACATAAGAAGTGTAACATAGTTGAATATATACCTATGTTGCACCTAATAATATATAAATGTTATAACCCCGATATCAGACAAACCAATATGCCAGATGACCATTTACCTAGCCTTGGTGATATACAAACCAATTGTCCTTTATTAATACTAATTAAGAAGCCAGGAACCTAATGATGATGTATACCTTAGTATCCAGAACATTAACTGACTTTCAATAAATTTATGATTTAGAACATCAGTACCTCACCATACGAATACGAGTACGAAAGTTTTATTTTGATTCGGTTCACATATAACAATACACATATAAGCTTTTGATAGCTTTTTACCGAATATAAATAACATATACATAACATTAAAACACAGAACAAGCAGATAAGATATATCAGCAGCAATTATTATTTCAAATGCATAGAAACAGCACAGGCATATTGAAATACATGTAAAGTATTACTAAGCTACACATCTAAACATGCCAAAACTGAAGCAAAACTAAAAATTGAAGCACAACTAAAAATTATACACAAATAAAAATATAGCACACATGCAAAAATTAAGGCATAATGCAATCATTTAGCAATTACTAAAAATATGAAAAAGCTTATCTACATGCAGAACAACAGCATTTTGATCCATTCCAGGACTGTATAATTAAGGCTCTTAAATTGAGAAAAACTATTTTCAGTCCTGAAATGGTCAGGTAGGCTGTACCACAGAGTAGCAGCTGCAAATCTAAAACTTTTCTTACCAAACTGTGTAGTTTTACATGTAGAATATCCAGTATATTACTATATCTGAAAGAATATTTACAATCTTTTACATTTAATAGATCATGTAAACAGACAGGTGCTAATTTATTAACTATATTAAAAGTTTCAATTGCCATTGATCTTTGTCTTTTAATATGCAGTGAAGGCATCTTAGCCTTTTCCAGCAACTGTTTATTTGAGCTTGAATAATCTTCATACACAAATCTTAGTGCTCTTTCTTGCACTTTTTCTAATTTTTTTGAATTTTTCTCGGTACAAACATGCCATTCCAAAAGGCAGAAATTGAAATTGATCAACTTGAATAAATGTATGGAAAATAGTTAGCTTACTTAGCTTGTTCAAATAAGTTCCCAAACGTTTCAAAATATTTACCATGTGACTGTATTACAGAACCACTCGTATTAACATTACCGTTTATGGACCACACTATACGATCACCAGATAATCCTATGATTCTATTAATTGATAGGCATTTTGTAGTTTGAGGAGAAATATCTTGTACTCGCACCGATGTGCACATAGACATTTTCATTATTGTATTATTTAAGTTCATGTAGTTTTACTAAAATTATCATTTAAACTTTTGTGTTTTAAACCATTACGTCACAGAAGTTCAAATTACCAAAATACGGCCAGTAATTACAGTTAACGTAATGAATAGCCTTTGTTGTCAAATACTTGTTATAGGACGGTATTCCTACCTCTTTCCATAGGTAAAAATGAATTGTTTCTACTTTATATAACTTTTCCAGGGTTTTGAGGATTTTGAACTGATGTAAACAATGTCTAGCCGATCTTGTTCTTTCGTGTATATTTCCTAATCCGTTTTTATTGAGATGACCAATGAAAGTGTCATACATACAAAAGAACGGGGATACGGACATTAAGTTTAGGGATCAATATCCACATATTCATTAATCTTGTTTTTATAAAATGTCTGTCAAGAAAAGAAAGTTATCAACATAATTATTGTGCGACTTTACACAGATTTCTAAAGTGCATATAGGTGTGATTTAAAGTTGGGAGTAAAACTATGCGAAATTCGCTCATACCTTAATTGGATCTTGGTGGAAAGAAATAAAGTATAAGATTGTTTTTAGAACTGTACTCCAGATTAGCGTCCTATAAACATGGAAATAATTAAGTAACACACAAACTGTTTCATGTATTTTTGTTTCTTTTTTTTTTTGAATTGCTGATTTCCTCTCCCAAAAATAAATAAATAATAGTTACAAAACAAAAATAAACGCAGAACAAATCAAACAAACAAATAATATGGTAACACATGATGTTTAGACCTGTGAATAGTTGGTGTGAGAATTAGCAAGAAAATATAAGATAAGCTTTTGACGTTGAAATAAAATGGAAACATATAAATATGTGATGAAGTTTCATATTAAACGATCAGAATACCCATAATTTCTGTTAGAGATCAGTAAGCTCACTTTATATCAGTGAATATTTAATATCTATTTTTAAGTGGAAGCTATAAAATAGATGAGTATGGAAATTGTTCACGTTGTACTCTGGAATCAAAAGAAGTTGCAGACACGATGTGGAGACGAGTTGGTAATCTAATTCCAGAAATATGGAATAACAGAAAAGTTGTGGGTTTGACTGAAAGGTATGTTTGCAGAAGCATAACCAGAAATTTGAGGTAATTGGCCCATGGTAGCTTTTGTGTTGGCTGAAAGCATAAATTGTGAACAAAATGAGGAAATCATACCTTATTTGAATAACATTTTCCACGAGCCAGGTAACAGCCCACAGACCCACCCAGAATCCACTATAACGTTATAAATTCTTAATTTATAACATCCTCAACTAGACATGCACCTTTATTCATAATTGCAACCAATATTGTGGATTCTATGAAAAGTTATTTATTGATAGACGTAGTTCAATAAATGTTTAGCAATGGTAAAATACCATGAGTGACTAGAATGTCACATGCTTAACAAATAATTCAAATTATATAAAAATTTCTAATTTGGATTATACTTAAAACGTGTACATATATATTTATAGAATAGGAGTGTTGAGGTATAATCGGGTGTAACGTTGCACATATATATTTACAGAATAAGATCGTTGAGGTATAATCGGGTGTACATATATATTTACAGAATAAGAGTGTTAAGGTGTAATCGGGTGTATATATATATTTACAGAATAAGAGTGTTGAGGTATACTCGGGTGAACACATATATATATATTTACAGAATAAGAGTGTTGAGGTATAATCGGGTGAACACATATATATATATATATATTTACAGAATAAGAGTGTTGAGGTATAATCGGGTGTATATATATATTTACAGAATAAGAGTGTTGAGGTATAATCGGGTGTATATATATATTTACAGAATAAGAGTGTTGAGGTATAATCGGGTGTATATATATATTTACAGAATAAGAGTGTTGAGGTATAATCGGGTGTATATATATATTTACAGAATAAGAGTGTTGAGGTATAATCGGGTGTATATATATATTTACAAAATAAGAGTGTTGAGATATAATCGGGTGAACACATATATATATTTACAGAATAAGAGTGTTGAGGTATAATCGGGTGAACACATATATATATTTACAGAATAAGAGTGTTGAGGTATAATCGGGTATACATATATATTTACGACATAAGAGTGTTGAGGTATAATCGGGTGTATGTATATATTTACAAAATAAGAGTGTTGAGTAATAATCGGGTGTACATATATATATTTACATAATAAGAGTGTTGAAGTATAATCGAGTGAACACATATTTATATTTACAGAACAAGAGTGTTGAGGTATAATCGGGCGAACACATATATATATTTACAGAATAAGAGTGTTGAGGTATAATCGGGTGAACTCATATATATATTTACGGAATAAGAGTGTTAAGGTATAATCGGGTATACATATATATTTACAGAATAAGAGTGTTGAGGTATAATCGGGTGAACACATATATATATTTACGGAATAAGAGTGTTGAGGTATAATCGGGTAAACATATATATTTACAGAATAAGAGTGTTGAGGTATAATCGGGTGAACACATATATATATTTACAGAATAAGAGTGTTGAGGTATAATCGGGTGAACACATATATATATTTACAGAATAAGAGTGTTGAGGTATAATCGGGTGTATATATATATTTACAAAATAAGAGTGTTGAGGTATAATCGGGTGAACACATATATATACACATATATATATTTACAGAATAAGAGTGTTGAGGTATAATCGGGTGAACACATATATATATTTACAGAATAAAAGTGTTGAGGTATAATCGGGTGAACACATATATATATTTACAGAATAAGAGTGTTGAGGTATAATCCGGGTGACAATTTTCATCCCCATTTAGATGGATCTTACGTCAGTGAGGATGGAGACAGAAGTTACATGTCAGTACAGGTTTATCTCAATCAAGTAAGTTATAATATATAATATAATTTGGTTTCCAAATAAAATAAATTTATTTCTTAATTAAGTGAATATAGATTGATTAAAATCGAACTACAATGAAACAGGTATTAGAATGCAAATATATGTACATATATTGCTTGAACATTGGTTGCAAGTATTGTTGCATGTAATCTATAAAGAAAATTATGTAATATATTAAGATGCAGATGGTAAAGATTATACTTTAAAATACATTTTGTGCAATTTATCCTTTTTACACTGAGGAAATTTGTTCGATCATTACTTTTCGTTTGCTAATGTTTTTGTTGTAGGCATTTCCAATTTTTAAAGTAATTTTTTTCTTACTGGGAAATGATACTTGTGAGAAATCCCAGTTTATCACTTGCAAAAACAACATCTATCAAAGAAACATTTTTGTTTTGGAGATCTTTATATATTGATTGTGATATTTACATCAGAGACATATATATTTCTGTTTACATTAGTCATTAATAAAAAAAAATATGTTCTTATTTTTTATTGGGGATACGTGTACAATGTTATTTACAAATATTTAATAAACTGTTCAATCTGGAGAAACTGAAATTGTGTGAAAACTTCGCAAATAAAATATAATGTAGTTGCTTTGAACGAGAGCAAAGACAATTTACGAAGATCTAATGAATTGCTTAAAAAACGGAAAATAGAATGCATTAGATCAAATGTGTACTCTGAATTACTATAAATTATCTTTTCAGTAAAAGTTATTTTTTTGGGGGCCATCTATGATATACTAACCTCATGTTTTGTGAGATATTAAAATGATATTAGTCCAATATAACAGTTTCTAATTCATAAAAGCCGATACTTGAGAACAATGGTGACTTTATACAGAAAGCATGAGGAGACAACATTTGTTTGGATCATAGGTGTTTAAGTCTGGAAAGGATTTATTGTAATAAATTTTGTGAATAATTACTGTTGTAGAATTTTGAGGGTGGCAACACTACATTTCTGTGCATGTTAGAGGAAGATAAAACAGAAATTATCCCACAAACAGGTAATAATCAATGGGAATAACACTTTACTTTACACGAGGATTTATCGGTCAAATACAGGGCACAATTTTTAAATTCCTTAAAAAATAAATCTCCTGACCAACAAAATATTGCAAATAGTTTTGCATGAAAAATGAAAAGAAATATTCATATAAGATTGTCTACTAAAATGATCTTTCTCTCAAAATTTAAAAATAAATGGTGTGCAGAAAAAAGTTTATATCCCCTATCAGAATACCAAATGGTTGTCCCCTTACATTACATATGTTTTTACTTTCATAAAAGGCATGCATGCACTACTTCACAATTTATTTTTCTGAATATTGGATAATTCATTTAAGTTTGATTAGAAACCTGTTGGCAACCTGAATGATGAATTTGAAAAGGCAAAAAAAAAACTCCAAAAAGTTTAACACGGGAAGTAAACATTTACAATGTAATTTCTCCAAAAAAGTGTCAATATTATACTTTTTATATTTCTAGGTTCAATGCTGATATTTGAGCATGATATCCTACATGAGGGATCCAAGATTCTGTCTGGTAGAAAGTATGTCCTCCGTACAGATGTGATGTACTCCAGTCAAATTATACCCAAAAAATCCAAACTGTCGAGACTGTGTCATCTCTTTAAAACTTGATCAAAATATATATAACAACGATGAACACCAAAAGTTAGATTTGCTTAGATACTAACCAGAAAAATAAGATTTAGTACATTTACACAAGTTTGTTGCAAAATATGTATTCAGTTGTAAATTCAACTCAATACTATTTTTTAATTAACAAGGGCCTTTAATCCTTAATAAAATTCTTTAAATCTAATAAATTTGTGGAATTCCTTTATTGTCCAAGGTCAATGACAAGATGTTAGACCTTAATTCTTTACTGGTAAAAAGTCCATGATGTCCTTACTTGCATACCTCTTATATAAAAATAAGGAGATGTGGTATGATTGCAAACGAGACAACTATTCACCAGAGTTCAAATGAAGTGGATGTAAGCAATAGTATGCCACCATACGTCTTCAACAATCAGGAAACCCATACTGTATAGTCAGCCTAATTTGTAACTAAAAAGTTTACTAAAAACAAATATGACAGGTATGAACCAACGACATCTATGTTCAATGTTCATCACTAATTATTATTCTGAACAATTAAACACTTATCTAGTTTTGAAATACAAGTGATCGTTGACCTTGATCTTTGACCTCAAATCTTAACAAATACTTTCAAGAAACTGATAGTATATCTGAGAGTTTCATGATGTTGGACAATCATTCTTTAAACCGGTCATATGTGTGTTCTATGGGAAAATACACTCCCTGTTTTTGCCAAAATCTAAAAATAACTGTATCAATTGGAATTACATTTCTAACTTTATAACATTAGTTGTCTGTCATTATTCATGAATTCCTATTTTCCCCTGTAAGTGTAGACTATTTCATGAAATCCTATTTTCCCCTGTAAGTGTAGAATAATTCATGAAATCCTATTTTCCCCTGTAAGTGTAGAATAATTCATGAAATCCTATTTTCCCCTGTAAGTGTAGAATAATTCATGAAATCCTATTTTCCCCTGTAAGTGTAGAATATTTCATGAAATCCTATTTTCCCCTATGAGTGTGAATTAATGAAGATGTGACGTATTCATCAATGAAACACCAAATCAGATACACAAAAGCAATAAAAAGTTTTAAAAACAGAATGTGACATAGCCATACTAGACGCCTCCACCTATATAAAACAGAATGTGACACAGCCATACTAGACGCCTACACCTATATAAAACAGAATGTGACACAGCCATACTAGACGCCTACACCTATAGAAAACAGAATGTGACACAGCCATACTAGACGCCTACACCTATAGAAAACAGAATGTGACACAGACATACTAGACGCCTACACCTATAGAAAACAGAATGTGACACAGACATACTAGACGCCTACACCTATATAAAACAGAATGTGACACAGCCATACTAGACGCCTACACCTATAGAAAACAGAATGTGACACAGCCATAATAGACGCCTACACCTATAGAAAACAGAATGTGACACAGACATACTAGACGCCTACACCTATATAAAACAGAATGTGACACAGCCATTCTAGACGCCTACACCTATAGAAAACAGAATGTGACACAGCCATACTAGACGCCTACACCTATATAAAACAGAATGTGACACAGACATACTAGACGCCTACACCTATAGAAAACAGAATGTGACACAGCCATACTAGACGCCTACACCTATAGAAAACAGAATGTGACACAGCCATAATAGACGCCTACACCTATAGAAAACAGAATGTGACACAGACATACTAGACGCCTACACCTATATAAAACAGAATGTGACACAGCCATTCTAGACGCCTACACCTATAGAAAACAGAATGTGACACAGCCATACTAGACGCCTACACCTATATAAAACAGAATGTGACACAGACATACTAGACGCCTACACCTATAGAAAACAGAATGTGACACAGCCATACTAGACGCCTACACCTATAGAAAACAGAATGTGACACAGCCATACTAGAAGCCTACACCTATAGAAAACAGAATGTGACACAGCCATACTAGACGCCTACACCTGTATAAAACAGAGGCAGAAGATACCTAAGGGATATTAACCTCATATACACATCTGACACATAATGTAGGCATGAGTATCGTCAGTTATCTGTGAAATAAAGTGTGGGGACTTAATATACCATGGTTTTGGGCAGTGATGTAATTATAGTATTTACTATGAAGAACTGCAATAAATGCGCTGTTCCTTTGCTTTTTTCTATGTTTTTTGCTCTGCATGTACTGATTTTGTGTGATAGATATAAGAAGATGTGGTGTGAGTGCCAATGAGACAAATTTCCATCCAAGTCAAAATTTATAAAAGTAAACCATTATAGGTCACAGTACGGTCTTCAACACGGAGCCTTGGCTCACACCGAACAGTAAGCGATAAAGGGCCCCAAAAATTACTAGTGTAAAACTATTCAAACGGGAAAACCAACGGTCTAATCTATATAAAAAACGAGAAACGAGAAACACTTATGAACCACATCAACAAACGACAATTACTGAACATCAGATTCCTGACTTAGGACAGGTGCAAACAAATGCAGCGGGTTTAAACGTTTTAATGGTACCAAACCTTCACCCCTTTTCTGAAACAATAGTGTAACATCACAACATAGAAAGACACACTATAAAATATCAACTGAAATAGCTTAACTCAATCAAAGGACATATTAACACCATTGAACATACACTGAACACATAAATTTGACCTATGATACAATGTAAATACAAAATAAATAAACTAAGGGAAGAATAATAAAAGTAACATGTTATATCGGAATGAAATGTTAAACAATTAAAGAAAAACAATATGCTCGAACAAAAATATCAGCCATATGCAATAACTTTAAACACAGGTAAATGAAAATAATTTTGTTGTCAGGTATACGTGTACAGTACCAATAGAGAAAGGAAATATTTTTACAAAATAAATAATTTTGATGTTCATAGTACGAAGTGAAAATTAATAGTAAAACCAAACACTTATCAAAGCTGGTATATAGACCAGATATAACCCTGAATAACATTAAATAACAAAAAAGCAATACAATTAGTATCAACAGGTCAAATAAACAAGAAAGTACGATTTGAGAGTACTCGCAGTTACTGACAGCTCGTTAAAAGCCAAAACAATTAATAAAAAAAAATCATGCATCCGAGACAAAAATCAACTAAAACACATCCCAGGGATGATGAATATCCTTTGTTTTTCTGCTTTTTTTGCTGTGCATGTACTAATTTTGTGTCATGGATGGATACCCCTAATCCTTTGTTTTTCTATCAACAGAAGACCAAAAATAAGGCTATATGTACTAAGGATTTTCTACCTTAGGAAGAGATTGCCTTAGCTGTACTTGACAAAACATTTCTGAATTTTAGGTCCTCAATGCTCTTCAATTTCGTAATTATTTTGGCCTTTATATCTTTTTTAATTTAAGCGTCAGTGATGAGTCTTTTGAAGAGGAAACGCATGTCTGCTGTACAAAATTTTAATCCTGGTATCTATGAATTTATTTCTTCTTTATCAAAAAGACAAATGTGAATTGGTCAAAATTGAACTTGATTTGTGGTTAGTGGTTAATAACAATATTTCCAATTTTCAATTGATTTGGTGGAGGCTTACCCAGTACTCAAGTTGCATCTGAAAAGCAATTTTTTACATGTAAATATTAAAGTTTATGCCCCGTAACCTCTCAGTAAGGGCATACAAGAAATGAAGAGGCTAACAATGCAATAATCTTTAAAATATGTCAAGCACTGAATTAATATGTCATAGTCCTAGAAAGTTGTGAATAAATCTATCAGTCTATCAATGCATTATTTCAAAACCTCCTTCAGCTATTTCGGTACAATGAACTGGACTTTAGTATTGGGTTCTATCATTCACAGTAATAAGGTCTTTCCACTTTTCTGTGGAAAGACCTATTGATTTTGTTCTGATTATTATTTTTTTCTTCTTCCGCCACTAAGAGTCATTTGATTTGAGGTCGTTGCTTTAAGACCTTGAAATTTAGTTCAAGGTCGAAGGTAAAATTGACGTTCTAGATTTTGACCTTTGATATAGATCGATTCATAATTATACATGATAAAGCCATGGTATTTTTTGCATTAGGTTAGTAGACATATGGCCTTGAAAATGTCAACCGGAAGTAGCAACTTATCTCCCTTATTTAAAGCAAAAGTATATAGAAACTATATATTTTGAGAATCAGCGTAAAGTATGCTATTATTTGACACCAGAAGTGACTTTTATTTAACCGTAAGTGGCTTATTATCTCCCTTAATTGATGAAAAAAGTGCCTTAAACATTCTATTTTTAAAATCAGTGTATGATAATCTATCATTTAAGATCGAACATACTGTTTTTTTATCAAAATTTTCTTATCTTAAGTGAATTCGGGTGGAAAGACCGTCAATTGTTCTCTGAACAATTGGTTTTTAATTGTTTTCTATTTTGTAATGAGAGCAGATGATAGAAGATGTTGACAGTGTATCATACCGGGTTGTATTTTTTTATATATGTACTGGTAATTCTGATGTGTTACACTGTTCGAGTTTTCAGTATGGTACAAACATTTTTTTTTCCCCAATCATTGCCCTTTCATCTATAAATGACCCAAATGGCCTCAGTATTTTAGGAGGAAAGATCAATATTTGTGTTTTACCTGTGTGTTAAATGTTATGTCAATCAGCAGCATCACAAGACACAATACTAACCAAGAATAACCTTAGTCATGCAGTCAAATTTAACAGATCTTAATAGAAATTAACTCACAAATGGCAGACAATACATAATGGAAATATCTCACACTGGCCCATTGAGCCCCTACGGCAATTCCATGTGATATTATACAAGTTGATTTTATGATCGCCGTTAATAATTCTAAAGGTTATACCTGCAAAACAAAGACAACACAAATACCTTACTATTGGTTTCATTTAAAATATATAAAAAAGCATGAATAGCAATGAAATAAGATATGAACACATACTTTCACTTCATAAACTAAACATTTAAGCAATATGAAATAATAACTTGTAAAACTAATGAGCATTGATCATAATATAACAAAACTGAAACAAAATACATTATGTTTAACAATACCTGACAAAATATATTACCAATTTTATGTCTTTCATATTATAAACATTATTAAAACATTTAAACCCGCTGCATTTGTTTGCACCTGTCCCAAGTCAGGTACCTGATGTTCAGTGGTTGTCGTTTGTTAATGTGGTTCATAAGTGTTTCTCGTTTCTCGTTTTTTATATAGATTAGACCGTTGGTTTTCCTGTGTGAATGGTTTTACATTAGTCAATTTTGGAGCCGTTATAGCTTTCTGTTCGGTGTGAGCCAAGGCTCCGTGTTGAAGGCCGTACTTTGACCTAAAATGGTTTACTTTTACAAATTGTGACTCGGATGGAGAGTTGTCTCATTGGCACTCATACCACATCTTCTTATATCTATTGATAAAAATTTGAATAATTGGAGAATATGTCCATGGGACACAGATGATGCTCCTGCTTGCATATAACAATATAAAGGGGAATAACTCAAGAACAGTAAAAGTGACGCAACCCAAATTCAAACTTGTTTTGTGGTAATAAGCATTGTGTATAAGTTTCAAATATTTGATTGAGGCAAACTAAAGTTAGAGAACAGAAACTAAATTTGGGACGTATGAACGGATGGAGGTACGGACGGACAAGGGCAATACTTAATGCCCCCTCCACTACGGCAGGGGCATACAAAATAAGAGCTACAAATTGAATTCTTTCTAATTGTAAAAAAGAATCGCTTTCTTTCATTTAAATATTGACGTGAGTATACATGATGATCTGATATGTTTCTTGATAGAACATAAAAACCAAAAAACATAATTCCTGTTGGTTAAAGTATAATATAACAATATCTAAATGACTTGCAATTTAGATCTTGCTGCCTTCCAAAAATTGAAATTTTTGGTAATTAAACTGTCATATATATGACGTCATATGATTATTTCAACATGCAGTGAGTCAGTTACCTGGGATTACTTAATATTAATGGACAAAATAATAATAAACCTATATTTAATGCATCTTAATTATTTGATAACCTAAATTCATCAGCTACATGTCCTTACTTCTTGAAAAAATCTTCATATGAGGGAATAAATACGGATGAAAATATTAGGATCTACCTGTCTTATATAAAATTACTTTTATCTAGTCTGTATATGCTTAATAATTATTTCAATTTCCCTGACAATGTCGTATCATTAATTACTGTATGAGTGGAAATATTGACGCTTTTGCATCATACATTAGTTCTGATAATTTGTAACTTTATAAGATGTATATTTTCTGAACCTTCAAGTTCTATGATGCTATTTAACATGCTATACTGTATTTTATGGTTGTAAACCTCTTAAATATGACCATAAAATGTTGAAGTTAATAAAAATCTGTAATTTAAAGTGGTCAATCCATATTTTCTTATTAGCTACCTGAATGATATCATTTACTATTTGTACAAAGCTAACATAATATATAATCTCCTAGGCCACTTGATTTGCTCTAACTAAAATAACCTTTATCCAGACAATAAATAAACACGTATATAACACTTTATATAAACCTTACTACTACAGCAACATCTGACTTGTGTTAAAAGTTTTGTTTTAACAGAATAACGAATCTGACATGGGTTGCATCATTCTATTCTGTAATGGTAGTAGATGTTGACATGGTAACATACTCGGCTGTTTGTATCTGTTGTTCTGTGTACATGTAATCCTGTTGTGTCACACTGTAAGACTTACAAATATACATCGTCAGCACCGTAGCTAACAACCATCGATCCAGGGTTATTATTGGAAACACCCACAAGATCAGTATAAAACAGGTTGTACCAGGGTGGGGCATGTGAGAGAGAAGTTCCTGGAACTGACGACTAAAGAATCTCTTGGGTGATCTGTATCCTTGTATATAGTTATACAGCTGAAAATATAAGTGAAATGAAAATAAGTATCATTTATGTTAACAGGAACAAGAGTGCACACAATTGTTTTGCCTGCTTTATTGATTTTGATAGAGATCAACAATTTACTATAGGCAACATATAAACTTTACATTTTCAATGATCCATCAAAATGAGGTCAAGTTAACGTCTGTCAGATAGAAATGAACACATTATAATCACATTCTATATATTAAATTTATTAATCAAATTGGTTGTAGTTTCAAAGAAAAGGACTTAGACACAAACTTAACATTGACCAATGAACCATGAAAATAAAGTTAACGTCAAATAAGCCCCTCCTAAATGGATAAGTACACTCTACAATCATTCTATATACCAAATACAGTTAACTTATTTCTTAAAGTATCGACCTAATCATGAAATCTTAACATTGACTAATAAACTGTGAAAATAGGGTCAAAGTGTGGTGAACCCTTTCTGACAGGTATGTATACCTTGCAATGATTCTATATACCAAATATAGCTATTTTATATCTCATTAAAACAAGAACAATACAGTGTCAGTGATTTAAAACTTTGCAGTTTTTTTTTCAAGCAATTGCTGAGTCATGAAAAAAAGGTCAAGGACAACCGACATATGCCAGACAGAAACATCAGACAATAAGACATCTGTATACAAGATATAAATTATCAAAGTCATCTATCTTCTTCATTATCGAGGCTTATACAAATAGTGTACACAGTTGCTTATTCTATGTCTGTCATGGTAGGACAAAACAATACGTTTTTTTTTAAGAGGTCATATAATCATTAAAATGAGATAAAAAACAATGGACATACACCAGACGGAAACTTCATACCATGTGGTATCTGTAAACCATCTTTGAAATCATCACGCTCTTTCACCTTCTGAAATATTATCCTTTTATACAAAAAACTAATGCAATAGACTGTCATTGCTGCTGGATTGTCATACCTATGTCATTCATACTGTGACAGTCATCACAGGCAAGACAAATTTGTAACAAAAGATAAAACCTTCTTTGAGCGATCATCTAAACTGATGATCTTAAATGTCTGAGGGATTCCTAACATTTATTTTTCCTTTATTTGACTTAAAAAAAAATATTTGGGGTAAATGCTGATGAGGCAGGAAAATAAATTATAATCTAAATAGACATCTTGAAGGATTCTCATTTTTTTATATAGTACTAGGATTGTGAATTTTTATTTTTCATGAGACAACATATTTTTCGATACTCCTCTGTTTCTCCTGTTAAAAATGAAGATTTTCTGTAATACTATATATAAAAATTATGCTAAAAAATTGTCAGTAGCCTTGTTTTTGTTACAGTCAAATGTCATCGTTTCATATTATCCACTTTGTGTCGGAGATCAATTGGTCATTAGAGATAATTATTAATGGTATTTATGATTGTTCTGCAATTAATTGGTAATAAACAAGGTAGTTTATGGTCCATTCAAGGATTATCAAAAGTGAAAAAAATGATAACATAGATAGTTCTGTAATCAACAACTCAGTGATCTTTGATGTTGCTTAAAATTTGGATACTGACTATCAAAAAAATGTGTAACAGTGTTTGGGCTAGACCCTTTTCAAAGGGTACAACACACCTTTTTCGTCTGGAGCATTGTCATTTTTCTTGGTTAGACTTTGCACTCTGCTTTTTTTTTTGCCACCATGTCCTTTTTATATGGCTGCAGTTCCCATTATACTACAGCATTTTTTTTTATTCCTTGCTGTCAATTTTTTCCAGTTTGTAAGCAAATTCAAAGGGTGGTGAAAATAAATTAGGACAATTAATTGGCTTCAATTCACAGCCTTGGCGTCAAACAAAGTTTAACTGTTCATTAACTTTTGTTACCTCATCGTCCCGAACATGCATGAAATATTTCCCACTAGACGTTAAGCAACCAACAATCAATCAATCTGCTACCTCAACCATGTTCATTGCAAGCATAGGCTTGCAAATAGATAATTTAGAGTTACTGTTTTTCTTTTTTTTTTATACTCCAATTTTGATAAATTGAAATATAAATTAAGAGCAAATTCAAAAAGAACACCTGCAATATTTTGACATTCACCTGTCTAATTTGGGGATATTTTTTTTGGAGGGGGGTGAGGGTGCTGCTTTCACATGAACATAAATGTTAAAGGGGCATTGGCTGTCAAATTCATGTTCACCGATTTGACTCAAATTCTCATGTTTGATTTATAACATACTAAAACGTATATCCAAATTATAAAAAGTCTAAAATAAACAATTTACAAGGCATTGGCTCGATAATATGTATCATCGTTTTGTGTGTAATTTAGTCTTTACGCCATATAATTAATTATCCAGTTGACCTCTGGAGACTGCAGACGGTCATATAAGTGATATAAACATAAATATAGATATAAACAGATAGCGAACTCGCGCAATATGATTTTTCTAGGTCTATTTAATTTCATATTATAGGTTAAAAATATATGTTGATTATCGTAATTACCTGTATAAGAATGAGTTTTTGTAGATCGAATCAGACAATCAAATGATTTACCTTTGTTTCACTTGCAATGTTGACATTCTTTTCCATTTGATAACTTAACACGCATAATTCATACGTAATCCATCCCTAGCTAAGGGGTTAAATTGAAGGTCACATGAATACGGATTCAATGAGGTCGAATTATTCACTTGCAAGTGAATAATTCATCATCGATGTTTCTTAGCTTATTTTGACAAAATTGAACCATACTGGCTGCTAAAAGCGAATTCTTATTTCACTATTTCACTTTCATTAATGATTGAACAAAAAAAATTATATTTTCAATTTTTTATATATCTCGTAGCTAGTGACCCTTTAAATATGTTTGTTACTTGTATCGTACATGTACTTCTGCATACTGCAGTATTCATACTTTTTTTAATAGTTTCTTTATTTGTACTTGAATTTATACTATTTATCATAATTTTCAAGATAACATGCAAAAACCATAAAAATTGATAAACTATATTCATTTAAGAGTAATACCTCTTTAATGATATTGGCTTCAGACTATCCATTAATCCATTACAGTTTTCAAGATAATTAAGCAAAAATGCTAAAGTTGGTAAAAACTAACAATGAGTTCCTTGACGGTTTCCGTCATAGTGGTCTATGGCATATTTGTAGATCTTATAAATAAGAAGATGTGGTATTAGTGTCAATGAGACAACTCTCCATCCAAGTCACAATGTATAAAAAGTTAACAATTACAGGTCAAAGTAAGGCCTTCAACACGGAGCCTTGGCATTGATTATCCATTTTGCTGTTTACTGTTTCAGTTGGTTTATTATAGTTTTAAAGATAAAAGGAAACACTAAACTTGCAGAAAAATGACATATAAGGCAAATAACTCAAAAAAAAATTATATGATAGCTTCGCAAAACTGGAAAGTGGAACGATCTTGTCATTCTGAGACTTTTTAATCCCATTAGATTTTCTCAATTAAATTTTTTTTCAAGATAGAAGTCTTTTATTGCAGTTTACTATTATGGTATATTCTTGGTAATGGGAGTGATGCTAGATCAGCAGAAACTTTAGGATGATAACTGAGTTATAATTGTCTCATTAGTAGTCATACCATATCTCCTCTTTTTGTTTTACTAAAACACAAACCCCTAATGATGATTATAACCAAGTACGGCTTGAATTGGCCAGGTAGTTTATGAGAAGATTTTTGTAAAAGTTCACATTTAGAAGACAACCGAGAAGCAAAAGGAGGAGACTCATCGGACCAGCGACTCTTTTCACAAAAAATCTTACGATTAAAATTGATCGTAAGTTATACTGAAATGTGTATGACTTACGAGTATTTTTACTCTTAAGTTTTTTGTTGAAAAGAGTCGCAGGTGAGCTATAAACTAGTTGGATCATGCCAAATTTCCATGTGCCTGTCTCAGGAACATCGTCAGTGGTTGTGCTTTGCCATATTTGTAGGTCTATGAAAGTCTATGTCAATTCTATTCACAACATTTTAAACTCTGCCTATAGTTGAAAACTGTCGTTAAGTTGCTATCTCATTGACATATACTCCACATCTCCTTTTATTCATATCTTAAGCATGTTAAGTTCATTATATAACACCTGAGATTATAGAAAACAAAACAAAAAAATCAAATGACAAGGTCCAAAAAAAATTTTGTTTGTGTTTTTTCTTTTTCATTTTCAATCACATCAAATTTGCTTTAATATCAGAATTCATTGTCTACAATATTTATTTTACAAATCAGCAATATTCAAGGAAAAATTTATTCATGATTAAATGTGATAATATTCTATCATCACCTATAATATATTACTTCTACTGATTAGTATCAATGTTCATTATAAAACTGAACAATATGCATTTTACCCTCACTAACAAAGACAAGTTCTTGGTTTTTTAGGCAAAAACTGTAGAAGTTCATATGTGGGCAATGCAGAGTATCTTTCAGGTCAAAGTGTTTCACAAACTTTCCATCAGAACTCAGAATGACAACCTGTCCTGTTAAACTTAATATAATAATGCTGCCTAATGGTGTGGACTCTACATCAATCGGTTCACCAACATGTTCCTTCCGAATTAACTTCCCATCCTGGCTAAAAACTTTAACTTCATTTTGGAAAAAACTAGGTACACAAATATTTCTATTTATGTTCTCTGCTATTTTGAATTTGTACAGAAAACCAGATAATAAAGAATCTTTTTTCAATAAAAATTCGTCTTCACATTTTATAGTTTTCAATAAAACTCCATCTTGAGATACAACTTTGATGTGCAGCTTTGAACATTGAATCTTTGACAAAAATAGTGGGGCTGATTTCAAATAAAGAATCATGATATGTCCATCTCTACTCCCACAGAGTGCTAGAACAAAGTTTTTGCTATCTGGTAATGTGTACAGAGTTTTGATTTCATCATGTTCATTTTTGACCTGGATGGCACGATTTTCTGCAACAGCAAAGACAAGCTTTTTTAACTCTAAAA